GCCTCTGGCATCCACCAGCCTGTCCCGAGGGCGCAGCCTCCGAAGGGAAGGAGCCTCTCCAGCGAGTCCAGAGGACAGTTAATGCTTTCTTCAGTGAAGCAAACGCCACCACGGCCTCAACTCTCATCCCATGCCCAGCTTCCAAAGCTCATCCAGGGCCACTCTCACCGTCGAGCTCGCTCAGCACCCAGCCAGCTCTGAGGGGCTGCACTGCCACAGCCCCAGCTCCCCAGTACTCACGGGTGTAAGTGCTTTGTGTGGAGTTCCACATCATGTGTCCACGTCTCCAGGCCCTCAGGCCCTCGGCCCGGTGCAGACACCGTCCTGCAGCAGCCAGACAGGTCCTTCATGTCGTGTGGGGCTCCGGCCCCCTCCTGCTTCGGGTGGTGGGACCCCAGTCCAGTTGTGCCTCCAAGTGGGGGGTTCAGCCAACGCCAGCGAGCAGCCGGTGACACCAGGAGCCATATTTACAGAGCTGAGTGGCCTTCGGCACGTTGCCTTTGCAGAGTTCACCCCAGAGAGCCGGGACCGCCGAGCTGCACGTCCCACATTCCGCCCGGAAACAGACGGGTACCAACACGGATTCACAGCTTAGCTGGCACAGGGAAGGCGAGAGATTCATGGCTAACCGGATCCTCCCTCCCCGGGCGGGAACACTCAGGGGGGGTTACGACACCGGGGAAGGAGAGGGTGAGGTGGGGCACGGCACGGAGCCCAGTCCTCGCCGAGACGCCCCGCGGAGCGGGCGGGTTCTCCTCTCTAAACGAGTCTCTGCGGGGAAGAGCAGCTCCCCTCGTACCAGACACCGCCGCCAGGGCGCCGAGGGAGGTGAGAGCGGGGGGGGGGGCACACGGAGCCCCCTCCTCCCCCAGGGAGCCCCTCGCCCGTGGCAGCTCAGAGACCGACGCCGCAGCGCCGAGGAGCGGGGAGCGCAGCTCTGCAGCGATGGGTGCTGGGGCAACCTGCCAGCTGGAGGAGGGTCTGACCTGCTCGTCGGGGAAAGGGAGGGGGCCACGCTCACCCCCAGCAATTCAATCACAACCGGATCCCACCTCCTGGAGGCTGGAGCCCACTGGGAATCAACAGCCCAGCTTTTTTTTCTTTTTTTTTTTGTCCCATCAACCGGGGAGCGCAGCTCTGCAGCGATGGGTGCTGGGGCAACCTGCCAGCTGGAGGAGGGTCTGACCTGCTCGTCGGGGAAAGGGAGGGGGCCACGCTCACCCCCAGCAATTCAATCACAACCGGATCCCACCTCCTGGAGGCTGGAGCCCACTGGGAATCAACAGCCCAGCTTTTTTTTCTTTTTTTTTTTGTCCCATCAACCGACACGGGTTTCAGCTACTGACCAAAAGGGACAACAGGAACGGTCACAGACATCTCAGAGGCTCTGGAGGGGCGGGAGCACAGAGACTCAACTATACAGGGTGCAAGAGTCCAGAGCCAGAAAGCAGCGCCCTGGGAAGAAGCTGAAGGCAGCTGTCGTGTTGTGCGTGGGCTGCTCATCTGGCTGGTGGCTGGGAAAGGACCGGGTGAGCCAGCGTGACATTCAGGGAGTCGTTGTGCTGCACCAGGGACGTGTGCTTGTAGTGCAAGACCAGGTCCTTGAGGGAGGCGTAGAGGTTGTAGGGTTCGGCGAAGCCGTAGCCGGTCGCCGTTTTGTAGATCACGCAGTGCTTGGTGTCACCGTCCACCCTGCCAGGGAGAGAAGGGAGCACGGCTCAGCCCCACGCCAGGGAACTGGGGCAGCACAGCACCAGTGGGTGTCACCAAACCTGCCCAAAAACACATCCGGGCCTGACAGGAGGAGCCGAGGCAGAGGAGGGACCTCGGAGAAGCCCAGCCCGGC